ATATAAACTTCTGTAAAGGCTCTGCAGCACAACATGGAGGGAGTTTGTGGTTGCAGGCTAACAGACAGAATGTAGGTTATTAGATCCATGTATATACAGGTAAGCTTGCAAGTTGCATGGGTTACTGCAACATTGAGTCTGCAATAATGTTTTTAGAGCAGTTTTGCTGCTATTTTGCGGTTTGCAGTAGCAATATTGCATTCCCACACCCTCCACAGCAGATCTTCCTAGGTCTACCTGTTGGGTTGTGCTGATTTTGCTTCTTTGTTGCTTTTTCAAAATCAATAATAAAAAGCAAAGCTTTTTGTTTACATCAAGACTCTTAAAATATTCACTTAGATCTGTTAATATGGATTGTATTAATTCTGGAATTTGAGTGTAACTATCTGTGTGCATAATATATGAAGTGCTGAAGTATAAAATAAGGGAAAATGTTTCTTTACTAATGTGAAATAGTGTTAAAGAAAATCTGCTATGCTGAGAATGTTTGATAGCTAGTTGTTTATTTCTTTGGCAGAGTGCAATGATTCTTATGAATGTCTACTGCAATAAGATTCTGAAGCCCATTGATGGATCCTGCTGCCAGCCTCAGCCTCCCCTCACTCTGATACAGAAGCTAGCTTTTTGTTTTTTTGCTTTGTCCATTATTGGATATTTAATTCTCAATTTTATTTATCGTAATAATCATCGAAAGAACAAGCCATGCACTGATATGGAAAGTGGAGAAGAGAAAAAACCTGTTGCCAGTACATCTCCTGTTTCTACCCTAGAGACACTGTTACACTCGTTCTGCAAGCTGGGTCTAATCATGGCCTATTTCTATCTATGTGACAGAGCAAATCTATTTATGAAGGAAAACAAATTTTATACACACTCATCTTTCTTCATACCAATTATCTACATCCTGGTTTTGGGGGTATTTTATAACGAAAACACCAAAGAGGTAAAGATCATGCTAGTTCATTTCTCAGTTTAAGATTGCAAATGAATTAATTTTTATTCACTAAAATACGATAATCAGATTTTCAAAAACGATATAATTGATGCACAAAAACTATGTACATATGAAAATTCACCTGTAGGTGTACACAAATGTAATTAGGTTCAAAATGATGTTTTATGCCAGTGCATTGGGTAAAACATTTTTGTGACACAGCAGTTAATAGTATTCATCCATCAGCTGGCCAAAGTGCACCAGAGTAAAGTCGTAGTCCAAATTTGTAGATGAGCATTGATTTACAGGGCAACATCTAAAACAAAAGTGAACTTTGTATAATGTCATTAGTGTAGACGTTTTTCTTCTTAGACCCAATTGCCCATAATGTGGTTTATTGTTTTTAACTTTTTCTCCTCATTTTGTAGATGTTCGTTGTACTTGTTGGAATAGCAACACTCTTGTTTTGTTTTGCATAGACTAAGATGTTAAATAGAGAACAGACAGATGAATGGAAAGGCTGGATGCAGCTTGTTATTTTGATTTATCATATCTCTGGAGCAAGCACTGTAAGTGATGTGAATTTTTTTAAAGTGATGTCATTTAGATTCAGTTCATTAAAGGAAAAAATAAGCTTTTGTCATTTACCACCAAATAAAAGTTAAAATATCCAAGCATTTATTAGACTTGAGTATCAACAAGTTCAGATTATGCTCCTTTTTTAACCATTTATGTCAAATACGTGATTTTTTTGTGAGCCTCATTGATACAATTTTTTCAGTTAGTACAGATATCAATGAAGTTGTACTTTTTGCATCATATATCCAATGAAGAGAAATTATTTCCTCTTTGTAGAAGAGTTACAAAAAGCTGCTGCAGATTTTTATATTTTAGGAGTTTAAACTGTTAAAGGACAACTTTCTAGAATGCTTTTCGTTTTTCTTAATAAAGATATAGCAGTGGTTCTCAAACTGCAGTCTGAGGACCACTAGTGGTTTACGGCCGCCTTCCAGGTAGTCCATGGCTCGAATTCAGCCTCCCTTCCACCCTTTCTCTCCTTGCAGCAGGGAGCCTGTGCTGGTGCTCCTGCTTCGTGACCTCCCCCCTTCCCTCCCGAGGTTGGAGCACCAGCATTGGTTTCCCTCTGGGTGGGGGGAAGCCCCAAGCCTCCCTGCCAGATCTGGCTTGTGGGGAGGAAGCGGAGCTAGAAGCAACTCCGGGTGTTGCTGATCCTTCTCCCCTAGCTGGGGAAACAGCAGTGCATGAATGCACTGTCTGGAGGCTTTCCCTGCTACTCCTATTGGCTGGAGTTGTGGCCAATGGGAGCAGTGGGAAGCCGTGCCTGGTACACAATGCCTGGGAACAGGGTGGGGCGTGAAAGCAAATAAATGCCAACCTGCCACCTTCTGATGCCCATACCTCACATTCCCACCCTGCTCCTGCACCCTTCCCCCTGTCAGACATCCTTCTCCCAGTCCATTCCAGCTCCCTCCCTCCTTCCCAGACCTCATCCTCTTACCCCAGTCTGCCCCATCCCCATCCATATACCAGTGTCCCGCAAGTTGAAGCCCTCATTTTTGTCTCCATCCCAGAGTCTAAGGGAGGGGAGGGGTCCATAAAATTCACTACCCCTGGAACCTCAGAAGAGTAAATCCAGCCCATGGGAAGCCCCGAACCTTAGTCCGCCTTGTCCCAACAGACTGGAATGCCAGAGGAATGAGGTGTCTCAATTGAAGGCCAAATCAGTCAGAGTTGGGGTTTTTGGAGGAAATTTTTTGCTTCTCACTTGTGTGGTCCCCAACTGATTTTTCTATGGGTCAGTGGCCCCTGATCCAAAAAAGTTTCCCCACTCCTGTCATAAATAAATAAAACATTGAAACCTTTTGTGATGGAGATAAATTCATATTTTATTTTATTTGAAATGAAGTTTGATAAACTAACATGAGTTAAAACACTTAATCTGTTTTAATAATTTAATATTTCCTTTCTTACTGGTTAAACCATTCTCCCTAGCTGCAGCACTAGCAAAATGGCTTAGGTGTAATTATGCAGTTAACAGAGTGTTTCCGTTAGTAAATGGTGGTCCACAGAAAAGTTTGCATTGAGCCAGGTAGGTCATGGGCCAAAAAGTTTGAGAACCACTGAGATATAGATACATAAGAAAGTAGAGCTTTTGATATAATCATAAGAAAATTATTCAGATTTTACAATTTGAAAGGGGCTTTGTCAAAAGTATTGCTGTTCAGTAGTAGTAGTAAGTAGGACATCGCATTTTTTCATTATAGTTGGTTTATAATGACATAAAGCTTTATGCAACAGAAACGTTACAAGCCTAAAATACAGAACTTTCTCCTCTGGTCCCCAAATTTATTTACATTTAATAGTGTTTTTAAAATATGAGAGAGAGAGCTTCTGTGATCCTCTGTAAAGTATCAATTATTTTTCTCAACAGTTTTTGCCTGTGTATATGCATGTTCGGGTTCTGGTTGCTGCGTATCTGTTCCAAACAGGTTATGGACATTTTTCATACTTTTGGATCAAAGGAGACTTTGGATTATATAGAGTGTGTCAGGTAAGAATACATTTTTCACTTATTTCATATAAAATATTTCCCAATTCAGATCTTTCTCTGCTCACTAACATAGCTGAGATTAAAATTATTTTGGTTGATATTCATAATACCAAAATGATCATTTTCTCTCTCCCTCTCTCTCTTTCTCATATGGTCTCTTTATTGTAGTCTGATCAATCTAGTTTATCTAATACAAACATAATGAACATTTTAAGGGGAAGGCTGGTAATTTCTTAGACTGTGGTTGAAGTGAAAAATAATGATTCTTAATGTTTTCATCAGCAGTTGGGCACAATAAATAGTGGTGAAGATAAAAATAATTTAATATATGGAAAGGCAAGACTGAAATAAATTATCTAAATTATCCATTTAGATCTTTCTTTCCCCCATCTTGTCTTTTTAATGAGGTGATTCTATTTACATACCACTAAATTGTTTTTCTAGTGGCTATTTCTTATACAAGGCTAAATATTTGGTGACACCAGGATACTATCGCTTGTGAAGCGTGTTATGCTTCTTAGGGCAGTCTGGGGAAAAAAGTTCCAGCTTACAGCTTTCAGAAGGGGCAGGAGTTCCTTAAGATGGACATATCATGCATCTTTCCCAACAATCCCACATTAATGTTGGTGAAATGGCCCTTGTGATCCGCCAGGGCCTACAGCACTATTGAGAAGTACCCCATGTGGTTTTTATGCTCCTTGGCAAGATGGTTGGGTGCCAAGATGGGGGAAGTGTCTGTAATCCCACCTCAGTTAGGGAATTCCATCACAGCCAACTCCTCCACTATGACATCCACGTTCCCCAGAGTCACTACGCTCCATATCAGAATGGTATTGATTGCTTTGGTTACCTGTATAACAGGAGCCCCCACTGTATATTTCCCCATTCCATATTGATTCCCAGCTGACAGGTAGCTGTCTGGAGCTGCAAGCTTCCCCAGGGCAATTGCCACGTGCTTCTCCACTTTTGGAGTGGTCTCATTCAGCTGTTCCTGCACTTCAGGGTGGAAGGAAAGCAATTCACAAAATTCCATGAGAGTGGCTTTATGCATTTGGAAGTTTTGCAGACACTGCTGATCATCCCATACCTGCAGCGCTTTGTGGTCCCACCAATCTGTGCGTGTCTGACAGAACCAAAAACCATGTCCCTCTATTTCTAGAGGATTGAATGCTGGCATTTCCAATTCACTCAACTCGAGGCTTGCATGAACAGTGTGTCCATGGTCTCCCAAGTTTCGGCTTCTTGCTGTTCGTACGCTCTGGACATATTCCACAATTAGACACACCAAGGTGAACAATATCATCAATGCTTTGATGCATAATGGAATCCATGAAGGAGTCCATGTTCATGCTCTATGTCTTCTGCACAAGTAACCAGGGCCATAAAGGCTGTGAAAAGACTGTTTCCTGTTGATCTCAAGCAAGGGGGGGGTAGGGAGTAGGCAAGTGCGTTATAGGACACTGACAACATGAACCCAGAGCCACCCGCTGCACCGTTTTGGTCCCAGTGTGCACTGGGAACATAACCAGAATGCAGAGCGGTACAGGCACTGTGGGATAGCTACACACAGCGCATCACTCTCAAAGTTGACAGCAGTCTTCCTACTAAGGACACGCTACTTTGAATTATGTTGAATTCTTGTGCACAGTGGGGATGTGGACCTTCAACTTTACAAATCGGGTGATAAGAAATCAACCTTGATAAATTTGACCATATCTCACAGTGTAGGCATGGCCTCATACAAACAGCCTGTCAGTCACTCAAGTACTCCCCTGTGGGCCATCCCAGCCCTGAGTTTGCCCTGCAGGCTGATATAAGGTGCATCCCAGGCTCTGGGTCCCTTCACAGTGTCCCCCGTGGTAGCTGGTCCCTGGTCACTAGATATTCACAGAAATCCCAAAGGAAGAATGTATAGAGTTCAACAGTTTTATCTTAGGTCTGGGGTGGGGAATCTAAGGCCCGAGTGCCAAATGCGGCCTCCAGCTTGCCTGGATCTGGTCCCCTGAGGCTCGGGCTCACCCCTTTAGCATTCGGGAGCTGCGTTGGTGCTCCAGGCCCCCACCATTCTCCTATGGGGCTGGAGCACACAAAATCTATTAGCCTGGGCCTCCCTAGGCTCTGGTAAGTGTGGGATTGTCCTGCTCCTTCTTAGTCAAGGGCCATGTCACTGAAGGTTTCATTATTTTCTCTTGCTTCTCACTTATGTGTGGCCCCTGACTGATTTTTCTGTGGGTCAGTGGTCCCCAGCCCAAAAAAGGTTCCCCACCCTTGCCTTAGATCAACATTCCAGTGACACGCACAGCACTTTGAGTTTGATTATACTAAACCAAAATAAGATTTATTTAAGAATAAAATTCAAATAAAATGGCTATATATAAAACAAAATTATAAACTGTAAACTAGGGCCTGCACTCATTTATTGTCCTTTTTTATCTAATAAAGTAGATTCTTAACCCAAAGTTCAGTCTTTTGCAGCACTTGATAGCTAAGCCTTCAACCTGGTTTATTAATTATTCTCTTTTCAAAATGAAAAGGTACCTTAAAATCCATTGTTGTTCATAACCATCAGTTGTTCCAATATAACGATGACTGGAGAAAACATTGTGTTGTAGGGGTTTTTTTTGTTGGGTTGGGTTGGTTTTTTTGCCCAGTTGATGAGGGAGCACACGATACATTTTTAAAACATCTGACTGGCTCACCCTATCAGTATCAAATGGTATCTTGATTCAAACAACAAACTACAACCATTCAGCTCTATTTTGTTTCTAACATTTGAACTGCTTTTTGAAACAGCCACTCCAATTTCAAGAAAGGTAATACTGTAGGTGCTAAAATTGATATACAGGCAGTCCCCGGGTTACGTACAAGATAGGGACTGTAGGTTTGTTCTTAAGTTGAATTTGTATGCAAGTCGGAACTGGTACATATTGTAGGGGAAACTCTAGCCAAACATTTCTCCAGAGCTCAGTTTTATTCTCCCACACCTCACTTCCCTCAGTCCTTTATTCTCAAGCTGAGGTGTCTGCTGAGAAAAGCCGCTCCGCGTCTCCCTGGTCTGCTGGCGGGGGCGCTAGCTTCACGTCTCCCTGGTCTGCTGGGGGGAAGCAGCTAGTGCGGGGTTGCCTCATTTCAAGAAAGGTAATACTGTACGTGTTAACATTGATATATATAATAAAGCTCTCTCTAGTCTGGCATTCCATGGTCCTTCATGATTTTAGTTAGCCATATGAGTGTGGCCAAATTTCATGCTGTCCCATAAAGTTTGTTTACAGCCACCAGTCCTGTCTGTGTTCTGTGCTGCTAGTTAGCTCTAATATACCCCTAAATGACTTCTAAGAGCCTAGTAAATGGTGTTGGTAATGCTACTAGACAATACTGACCTCCCGTGGTTCAGCAAATTCTCTGGTTTGGCACCTGTCACGTCCCAAGAGTGCCGCACTAGAGAAGGTCAGTCTATATTATATAATTTGTATAAAATTAAAGAAAAATGCAATTTGGCAGTAATCCTAAATGAAAAAGAACTCTTCTTTCTTCCTTCCCATTTCAACTACTCTCAGGTTTTATTTCGTCTCAATTTCCTGGTTGTGGTGCTATGTATAGTGATGGACCGACCTTACCAATTTTACTACTTTGTTCCACTTGTCACTGTCTGGTTTATGATCATCTATGCTACGTTAGCTACATGGCCTCAAATAGTCCAGAAGAAAGCAAATGGTAAAATAAATCTTGTTTCTTTCCTTCCTTTTACTGTAAAGTATTAACATCATAATGTACACAGTTTTACAATCGTATACAAAACTTGATAGCTAGTGTGTTAAACTTTATTTGGATATGTGATTAATGTAGAATTCTATAAATACGTTAAACCACTGTCCACTGAACTTGAAAAGATAGTTTTCATTTGCTGAAGTTCTTAAAGAACACATCAAGTGTTTGTTGAACTGTATCTCTGCTTAAATTTGTTGACACATGAATTATATTTCTGAGATTTTGAAAATTGTGTAGTGAACATTGCAAAAACAGTTGCTGAATAGAAGCTATTCAGCTAAAAACATTACATAAACTTGCCCCTAGATTGCTTTACCTTTTATTCATTGACATAAGAGTTTTAATGATATCTATAGTTTTCCCTCATTTACAGTTTTCCCTATCTATAGTTTTTAAAAAGCTCACTTTTTAAAAAGTGGAACAAAATTCAGAACTAATAATGTATTCACAAACATTCTTCATTATGCAACTTTGAGAGGGAATGGCATAGTGTATTTTCTGTCTTACAAACTAAAGTTAGGGCTCTAGAAAAACACTGGGCTTACAGAACGGACTGTATGAGCAACAGTATTGCCAGCTTCCCTATTCATTGCTGTTAATATACCTAAATCATCTTCTTGATGGACCATCTCTTGCCTAATAGGGCCTCCATGCCACTATAGTGTATGACCTTTTAGTTGATGTTATCAAGTTGGTGTTAAATGTATTTATTTCTTGTGTTGTATATGCTTGCTCATTAGAAACTGAAGTGAGGCCACCAGCTTGTTTCACATAGTATAGGTCAGTGTACAGCTGTTATGTGGTAACTGTTTTTAGAGATCATTTACCTCACATAGATTAGAACCAATGACCTGAAGAATAAAGACTCTATATGCTATCACAGCATAAGTCCCTTTCCCCCTTCTTCAAATTGTGTAGCTATGAGTGCGCCACTGTAGGTATATGTACATCTTTGCATTTCTGGTCGGAGATCTTTAATAGCAGTGTTTGTTTGGCATGCATATGTACTTTTCCCTCCTTGTTCTTGGCTTGAGGCTAATTAACTCTGAGGTGAGTGAGTAGCAGTGTTTGTTTGGCATGCTTGAGGCTAATTAACTCTGAGGTGAGTGAACTATCCTCAGTTCCTCCTCAATCACCCCTGGCTAGAGATAGAATGAGTAGGAGTCCATTCATGGACACTTCACTCTTTCTAAATTCATTCTTAGCTAGTTTGAGTGTTTTTCATAATCTCACTTTTGTCGATCAAACTGTACTGTAAATACTATACAGATACTTCTCAGGAAGGTGAAAGACAATCACCATAAGCTAAAAGGCGTTTTGGACCCAGTTAAGCTGTTTGGTAGACGCCAGCATTAGCCACACTAACATGAAATGGGCCAATTAAAAAATATTATGTACGTCCAACAGATATAGATGTTCTGTTTTCCCATCTTTTGTCTAATTCCATTGTTGTAGATGCAATGGACTCCCAAGACCACCCCTTATGATAGAGATTGGAAGTACTTTGACTTAGTTGGATGAAAGACCTACTTTTCTTCTACTCTGCAACTTAGAATTATAAATTACCAGGCCTTAACAGGAAAATATAATTACAAGGATTATACCAAACTTCTTCTTATTGACCATCTCATGGAATCATAACAGGAACAATTTCAAGCCATTACCAATGATTGCATCTTTCTGGTTTTCCAAAGAATTAAAGACTCAGTTGTTTGCTGAGAAGATCAGTGCGACGCTCCACACACTTGAGGATTCCAGAGCCACCCTTCAGTCACTGGAGAGCTATACATCCACACAAAAGAGAAAATACAGTCCTCAGTCTTCTCACGGATTGCATACACCACCACAACACTGCTAAGAGCCACACAGAAAGAAATCCAAAGTCTATGAATGCAAACCTTCAGGCCCTCAATCTTCAATATCACAACCTGACACTTCAAAACATCACTTTTGAACCTTCAAATTAACATCCAAAACCAACCTTTAACTCCACTACGACATCTGGAGTTTATGGGGGACAACCTTGACTTACTGCAAGTGCAGGCATGCTTTCTGCAACACAGATTTTGCAGCTTGACCACACTTACAGAGACTGTGTAAGCCATCTCTCAGATTTCTGCCAGACATTGCCTCCTGCTTCTGGGCCACAATGCTGGTACATTTCTGATACGATATTTCATGTCAGACTGCATAAGAGATGTCTGCAGACATTGTTCAGCTTGGTTTACAGACACTACTGACAGGCTACACACACCTCTCTTGATACCTTTCAGGGTCAAATGCTTCCTGGACTGGTGGAAAGCCACAGTAAACATTTATACAGACATTCTGTTCACTCCCCCTTCCCTA